CTTTCTTTCTTTCTTTCTTTCTTTCTTTCTTTCTTTCTTTCTTTCTTTCTTTCTTTCTTTCTTTTTTTTTTGTTTTTTGAGACAGGGTTTCTCTGTGTATCCCTGGCTGTCCTGGAACTCACTCTGTAGACCAGGCTGGCCTCGACCTCAGAAATCCGCCTGCCTCTGCCTCCCAAGTGCTGGGATTAAAGGCATGTGCCACCACTGCCCGGCTTACTCCACTCCTTTCCTTTCCTTGCTTTCCTTTCCTCTTGCTTTTGGTCTCCCCCACAGCCAGGGAATCTGCATTCTTCGTGCCACCCATAAGGTTTTCTCTTCCTATGTGCTTCTTTTGACATTGACTTTGTTGTTGTTGCTGTTCGAGACAGTGTCTTACACTAAGTGATGCTGGCCTAGAAGTTATTATATAACTCAGGCCAGCACTGAACACACTGCAGTCCTCCTGCCTCAGCCTCTGTAGTGATGAAAATATGGACCTAATTCACGGCATCTAGCTGAGATTAATGTCTTTAGATCACCTACACCACCTTGACTTCTGGGCCAACTCACTTGTGGGTGAAGAGTAAAACTAGAGTGTGTGCGTCTGCCATAAGTTAAAGCCTGATCTATGTTTGGAAAAGGAAAACAGCAGCATAAGGAATGTGGAAATAGTCATTATGTTGGGCCCTTTTCTACATGATTATAGACTCTGAGAGGGGTACTTCCACTGTGTGTCCTGAGTCAAGACTTGGCTGACCAAGCACATCCCTCTGTGATTCACAGGCTTCGGGTTTCCGGTAGCATTAGTATGGGTTAAGACCTGCTTTGTCATGAGAGCTAATCGAGGTGACTCAACACACAGGCAGGGGGTGTGTTCGATATTAAAGTTCCATCTTTGTGTGGCCTCTTGTCACACCGCTGCATCTGGCTTCGAACTGACAGCAGACCCAGCTGTTGCAGAGAGACAGTATTGGGGAAACGATAAGATTGTCATTTCCCAGTTGACTATTTTTTTTTTCCTCCACAGAAGGGCAGTATTAGTTTAAGTGAGATTCTGCACATGTGCATCTGGCCTGCAGTTTGAGTCAGATGTGGGGTTAATATGAAGTAAGATGGCTATTCCTATTGTGTAAGTGTGATTTGCAAGAATAAGGAGGATAGCTTCTGGAGTTCCCCAGTCTGCTTCTGAACCTATCCAGATGCGTTTTTTTTGTTGTTGTTGTTTTGTCTTCCTCCCCTCCCCAAAATGAGAACTTGAATGTGGCACGTTCTATTTTTGAACATTTCTGTGCAAAAAGAGATCAACCTCATGTAGCCCGCTGTGTCTCATGTAGGATTTATAGTCAAGAATGTTTGCTGTGTTACTTTTATACACACGGTTCTAATAATTACCTTATTATGGATGGTGAGATGTTAACTGTTACCTGAAAGGAGGGATCATTATCTTGCATTAACATAAGAATATATAAGCTTCAGCCCCCTGCACTTGAATGATAGTCTAATTAAGTCGACGAGTGTAAAGGTGTTCCTGAGTCAGTGACTAATGAGTTGGGTGAGAGCACTTGGGGCTCATGATACTCAGTGAAGTATATGAGGTTTTCTGTGATGAAGCCTTTCAGAATTTTAAATGATGGGGCTGGGGAGTTGGCTCAATCTGTGAAGTACTTGCTATGAAAATATGAACATCTGAGTTGGATTCCTAGAACCCATGTAAAAAAGCCACAGTGTAAACAGTTCCAATCCCAGTGCCAGGGATATTGAGACAGAAGGATCACTGGGGACTCACTGGCCAGCTGCCTTTGCCTATTCAGTGAGTTCCAGGCAAATGAAAGACCCTGTCTCAAAACAACAAGACAAGCCAGGCAGTGGTGGCACATGCCTTTAATCCCAGCGCTTGGGAGGCAGAGGCAGGCGGATTTCTGAGTTCGAGGCTAGCCTGGTCTACCGTGTGAGTTCCAGGACAGCCAGGGCTACACAGAGAAACCCTGTCTCAAAAAAAAAAAAAAGACACATAGTAGCTGAGAGGTTATCTAAAGCCGCACTCCATAGGTACCTGCTGATATTTGTACACATGTACCTATGCACATACAGGAACACACACATAAAGGAATACTCAACTGTTTTTATTTAATCTGAAATTAAAATACCCAAGAAGTCTTCATTTTCATCCACCCAGTGGGAAATATTCATTGTTTCCTTTTAGACGATTTTAAGCCAGCATCGATAGACACTTCCTGTGAAGGAGAGCTTCAGGTTGGCAAAGGAGATGAAGTGACCATTACGCTGCCACACATCCCTGTAAGTTGTTTCCAGTGTTGGTCTAACGTAACAAACTCTTGTGTTTTATTTACAGTTCGAATTTCCTTCTATTTATTTATTTTTACTTTTTTAGTTTTTTAAAGAGCTAACATGTTTTATTTACATTTCAAATTTCCTTCTATTGATTTATTTTTTATTTTTTTAGATTTTTAAAGAGCTAACATAAGTAAAAGAGGAATTTAGGAGTCAGATAGGTTGTTACTCATGTGTCCCAGGGCTTAGTTTAAGGTAGTTCTTTGTCCTGATTCCTGATTCCCCTCTCCATCTAATATATAGTAGGCAAGGTTCCATCTAGACAGTGGCCCCTCTGCTAGACACATAACATTTATCCTTTTCTGGAGAAAAGGGCCCTATGTGCCCTGTGTATAGCTGCTCCTGAACATAGAACAGCCAGAAGGCAGGCCAGGAGCCAGAGTGACATCTCTATATTTAGTAAGGGATCTGGTGTAGGCTGATGGTCCCAGGCAAGAACCAAAGGTTTGGAACACCCAGCTAATTTAGGGGTGAAGAATTCAGTTAAAAACAGCACCAAAGACTTGGAAGAAAAGACTTTGTAAGGCTCTTTTCAGGTCAGCACTTTGAGTCTGGGGTGTTAACTCAGTGATAGAGGGCTTGCCTTGAATGTATGAGGTCTTAGGTCAATCCCCAGTTCAGCCAAAGGAAAACAGAAAGGAGACCTTGTATTTGTGCTCACGATACTTTGGGCTGGGGAGATGGCTTGAGAAAATGAAGTACTCAAGCCTGAGGACTGGAGTTCGGGTGCCTTAGAACCCATGTAAAAAGCTGGGCAGACATGGGGGCTGCTTGTGAGCCTACGTTTACAGAGGCAAGGACATGGTCTGCCTGGGGCAAGCTGGCTAGCTAGACTTAGTTGTGTTCAGGAAAAGACCCTGCCTCAAAAAAAAAGGAAAGTGGAGAGTGACTGAGGAAGGTGCCTGATGCCAGCGTTGCGTTTCTAGGTGCATGTAAATATACGCACACATGTATATACACACATGTACACACACATGCACCTGGAATATCCCTGCCCACGTGCAGGAAGCTTCCTAGTACATTTCACAGCTTTGTCCTCAAACACAGAAAGTTCTGTAACTGCATTCTGACAGAATGCAGACTCTGCAGCAAACCTGGAAACCCTTGAGCAGAGGAAAAATAGTCTTTTCATTTGAACTCCTTTTATTACATGTTGTCCATGGAAGATTACATCATCTCCCATTGGACCTTAGTTTCCCAAGTGAAAAACAAAAGGGTTAGGCACATGGTCCCTAAACTCCCTTCAGACCTAAGTTTCTACTGTGCAATAAGGGGCTAAAGAGCCAAGCAATTTAGTTTGTTGTTGTTGTTTTGGTTTGTGCTTTTATAAATTCTGAACAACAAATTAAATCTTATATTTAACAAATATTAAATCAGTGTCAAATGTACTAGCCTATTACTAGGCTCTAAGAATTAACTTTAAACCATATGAGTACGTTTTCTTCCTTTGTGCAGCTTAGGGTCCAGAATTTAAATATAGGAATATATAGTAGTTGCTGGATAGGATGCTTTCCTATGATCCTAGCCTTTGAGAGGTGGAAGCAAGGTGAGAGGATATAAGACTAGCCTGGGCTACATGAGACTCTGTTTCCAAACCAAACCAAAATAAACACTTGTGGAAAACCAGAGAAGACTTATTTGAACTTAGCAGAAGGTCGATTAATTTAGACAGTGTCAAAATGTAGCAGGTAGAAGGCCAGTTAAAACTATGAGGAATTAGAGATTCTTACTTCCTAAAGACTACAGAGCCCAAAGATGGGTGGTGGAGCCAGGGGGCTGCCTTAAAGATGTCTTCCTTTGGCCTGAGAGCAGCATGGGAGGAGCTGTTGAAGGGCTTGGGTGATGACTAACATTGGTTAGTTTCCACTCACCAGGCTGATGGGCTGGCTACCCTTGGAGAAAGCTGTGTTGGTCGTTTGCATGAGGGGGAAGCCCTGGGTTCTTCAATTGCAAAGAAATACAAAGATCATTTCCTACTTTACTAGTGACAGCTATGTGTAGTGTAGGGCAAAGTTACTTGTCCGTAGTTTGTGCATCATTACTATTCTCTGAAATATTTCCCCACATTCTTAAAGATTTGCCTACTAATTTAAAGTTTTTTTCCTATATTTCTTGAGTGCCTAAAACCAGGTGCTTGCTATAACTGTCCTTTCCTTTTGCCTGGAAAGCCAGAGGAGTGAAACAGATCAGTCATTTATTCTTTTTGAGTGGCTCTGATGAAGGATTGGATGAAGCAGTGTCCTTGGTAAAGGTGGACTGTTCATAATTGGTGTATTTATACTTAAACATTTGTGGCAAACAGGGGTCCACACCGCCAATGACGGTGTTCAAAGGGAACAAACGGCCTTATCAGAAAGACTGTGTGCTCATCATTAACCACGACACTGGAGAGTATGTCCTGGAGAAGCTTAGCAGCAGCATTCAGGTCAAGAAGACAAGGTATGGCCGTCTTCCGCGTCCTCCCTTCCTCTTGTACTGTAGAGGTCAAAACTAGGGTCACGTGTGCTGGCAGGTGCTCTCCTAAAGAATAGCCTTAAATATTTCCATCTTTGTGGCATTTAGTCCAGTTTTATAAGGGCATGAACATCTGCTTGCTCCCGGTGTTCAATTGGTAATATTAGCCACTCCTGTCTCAGACACATCAATTGTAAAATGTACATTTTCCTCAAATACAGTAAAAAGAAATAATTCTTTTGAGAGCTAAAACATGAAGTCACTGGGGAGAACAAGGTGTTTATAATTGAGCCAATCTTGTCAGACTCAATAATTGCTCTTATACTACCAAGTAGGGATTCAATTTATATGTATAGACTTAAAATTACAAAATAATAATTGCATAACTTCATTAAATTACTGCTTGTAAATTAAGATATATTTGAGGTGCCTATACTATCAAAATAAAACCTTGCCTACTGAGTGTGGTGTGTCATACCTTTGAGCCCAGCATCTGAGAGTTGGCGGCAGCAGGAACAAGAGTTCAAGGCCGTCTGCAGCTGCATGGTGAGCTTGAAGCTCGTCTCAATTACATGAGACCCTGTCTCAAAACAAAAACAAATAGCAGTGGCCTTGCAAGATTGTTAAACGACGGATAAAGGGATTGGCCACCAAGTCTGACAACTTGAGTTCGGTGTTCAGGACCCACATGGCAGAGGCATGTAATTTAAAAAACTTAGAAACAGTAACAAAAAAATGTTTCCTAATTTCTAAAATAGTGAACTTTTGGGTTCGTTGGACATTAGAGGTTATTTGAAAGTCAGTTCATTGTATAGACATACTGTAATACAGTAATCATTGTAGGATAATGATTAAGATTCTTATGGGGGGGTATGAGGCGCAGATCCAGAGCTTTACACATGGCAGGCCTGTGCCCTTACCACCGAGCTAAATCACAGGTCCCCTAAATAAGGGGTTTTATTTTCCATTAATTTATTTATATATTTACATCTCAATCACAGCTCCCCGTCCTCCCCTCCCTACCTTCTCCACTCCTCACAGAACACTAGTTAGGTTTTAAACACTATTACAACTTGACGTCTGTTTCTGGTTTTCTTCCACTCATTTCTCTAGAAAAGGAAGCAGCCCCCATTTACTGAGATGATCATGGGCCGGTATGTTTTAGGTGTAGTACACCTAAGCTTTACCAGTAATTTTTGAAAGGTTCTATTCTCTTGGAGACTAGTGATTACAGAAGTTGTGCTTTAGCTAATTTGACTGTTAGAGCTAAGCCCTCACCTCAGGCAAAGTGCCCACAGTGCCCGTTTCTGTCCTACCCTTTGTTGGTTTGTATCAAGGCCTGTTTTAAATGTGCTACTCCTGGGATATTCCTCGGCGCTCTGTTCTCTATCTACTCTGATTTGGGGACTATCAGTATACCTCCTGGGTACTTGTTACACTCGCAGAATCTCAGACTTCCTAAGTCAGAACCTGCAGAGACCTCTAGGGGATTTGTATAGATGCTTAGCTAATAACCATTAGGCTAGTTCATAATCCAGTTTATCCAGAAACTTGTATATTTATTATTACAGCTTTATATTGAATTTAAGTCATAGTATGATACTTTCTTGTAAACATACTTAATCACATTGTGTCTGTGTTTTATCTCCTTGCTGAGCTTATGTTAGATGTGGCACATCTGTAATCTCAGCTCTTGGAAGGCTGTGGCTAAAGGATCTTGAATGCCAGAGTGTACATAGTTAGATCCTGATTTAGAAAGGAAAAGAAATGAGCGCCTTGCAGGCAGAGGGTCATTTCATCAACTCTACCATCACAGTGGAAATATGAGCGTTGAGTGCGTTCTCGTGGTAAAATGAAAAGATTAGATTTTCAGTCACGGAAACGAACATGGGGTCTGCAAATGCTGCCTGTGTGCTTAGTGATCTTGAGAAATGCTGTTTTGCCTCTTGATTTAATGTCTATTTCAGAGCTGAGGGAAGCAGCAAAATCCAAGCCCGAATGGAACAGCAGCCTACTCGTCCCCCCCAGCCCCCACAGCCGTCACAGCCATCACAACCGCCCCCTCCACCTCCACCCATGCCGTTCCGAGCCCCGACGAAGCCTCCAGCTGGACCCAAAACTTCTCCCTTGAAGGATAACCCCTCACCTGAGCCCCAGCTGGATGACATCAAAAGAGGTAGAGAGCCAGAGTCGGTGGGCCAGCATGTGGGGTGGGCAAGGTGCTCTCGGGAGCTCAGAGAGCCCACTACTGCATATTTCAACAGAGTTCCCTGCCCCGGAGCTCGTGAGGACTGAGACTATCATGAATCCAGGAATGGTGGCTTGAGTGTGACTATCTTCTTAGAAGCTTAGGGTTTAAATAAGGATTTCTATCAACCAAAGCTTTGCCGGGCTTTAGGGGCCAGAAAGAATATTCTAGGCATGCTGCTTCTGGGCTCATGTACTGATCAGTATATGCAAATATAAGTGCTTTACTAAGGGAACTCCACAAATGCCAGGGTTAGATGTTTTTTGTTGACTCAAAGCATGTAATCCTGAAAGGCTGAGGCCAATGGGATGAAATCTGGTCCAGAAGGACTTAGAGGTCTGCCTTTCCTTTGCAGACTTGAGACAAACTTACCTTGGCTTTCGTCCCACATGGCAGAGTGTTCTGGTCCTCCAGACTCTCAGGCATTATGGGCTAAGCATATTTCACATTTATAAGTTTTATGGAACAAAACCAATCCCTAATAGCAGAAAACAGGAGGAGTTAAAGGCTTGTTCCTGGGAGTTTGCCTTTCTTACCCTGTAGAAATCTGCCTTCTCATAGACCAGTCACCCTGAGTTTTGAACAGCTGTGGCAGCTCTTGACCATTTTCCCTCTCTGATTCTAGATTCCTATTGTGGAAGTTCCCACTGTAGTGTAATGGGAATTAGACCAAGAGTGGGCCAGAGCCATGTAAGGCCATGGTGATGTTTGGACAGGAAAAATTTATGGCTGTATTGGTAGTCCCATATGTATTCAGGGACATTAGAATGGTTAGGGAAAATATGTTTTTTCCACCTCTGGTAGACATCCACAAAGAATGCAGGACAAGCATAGTCGTGATCAAATGTGTGAGAATCAGAAGAGGGTGTGGCGTTTCCCTATTTGCCCTCCTTGCCAGGGCTTCTTACAGGCTTCTTTGGGGCTCAGAAAGGACCCAGGGTGACTCTGGCTTAGAAAGTCTGTTGACATCAATATCAATCTCGTCATTGAGCAGTTGTGATGTTTAGTGCTGTCAGCTTGCAGGATCTGAAGTCCTTAGGGACACGCCTCTTAGCACTCCTGTGAGAGCTTATTTAGCCTCTGGGCATGCTCTAAGGGATTGTCTAGATGAGGAAGATGCACCATTCCCTGGGTTTGAGTCACTGGCACGAGCAGAAGCTTCAGCTGCCTTCTGCTCTAGACTGTGATGTGGAGTGACTCAGCCTCAAGCTCCTGCCTCTGTGACATCCCTTATAGGCTGGAACTGTGAACCAAAATAAATCCTTTCTTCTGTCAAGAGTTTTTAATCTCAGTGACAGAGAAACTAAGACAGAAAGTAAGCCTTCAGACTTCCAATTGCTAGAAAAACACTTTTCTATTCTTTTTCTCTTACTTGGGGTTTTATACAATAATTCACATTTGATGTTTTGTCTGTGACAAGGTCTTGCTCTGTAGCCCAGTCAGGTCTTAAACTCAAGGTCTTCCTAACTTCAGTGTCAAACTGCTAGGTTATGGCACACACCACACCCAGATCAAAGTATTTATTTAAGGGAATAATGAATAACCCTGATGTGTTTCTTACACAGAAGAGTCATTCTAAAACAGGCCTTTTGTTTATTTTGGTGAACTCAGTATTGCCATCAACCCTGGAGACAGAATAGGTATTCTTGTTGGTTTGGGGGTTTAGTGTGCTTCCTTGGGAAGCAGGGAGGGTAGAAACCCCTTGCTGCAGGTGTGTTTTCTGCTCATCCCAGTTGTGTTGTTGCAGAGCTAAGGGCTGAGGTGGACATTATTGAGCAGATGAGCAGCAGCAGTGGGAGCAGTTCCTCCGACTCTGAGAGCTCCTCAGGAAGTGACGACGACAGCTCCAGCAGCGCAGGCGAGGACAATCGCCCAGCCTCTCCTCCCCAGCCTTCACAACAGCAGCCCTACAATAGCAGGCCTGCAGTGGCCAATGGAACCAGCCGGCCCCAAGGAAGCTCTCAGCTCATGAACACACTCAGTAAGTGTGACCTCCTTGGTAGCTGAGACAGGGAAGGGCCATATGCAGCTTTTGACTTGTGCCAGAACCTATCAACTCTAGGCATTTAGGGACAGGGAAGGTCTTGATGTAGACAGACTGGGAAGGACCAGAACTCCCAGTCTTTTCTTTCTTTTTCTCCTTACTTGTGGCTATGACTTCTGCAAAATGCTTAAACTTGATTGTGTAGGCTCTTTGGTTTTCCATATACCAGGTTTAAGATAGGCCTCAATTGCCTACTTCCTGGCCTTTAAAAGTTAATTACCTTCTTTGGACACCTCCTAGTCTTTGGCAAGAGAAAAGAAGGAATGTTGTTATGTTAGGGTAGCTTTTTCTCCAATTGATAAAAGACAGGAAAGCCAGAATAAAGTCAGCTTTGTTTCAGAGTGGGGCAGTTCTGCTATCTCCCTGGAATCTTGCATGGTGAATAGTCTCCCTCCTGGTAATCTTCCTTTGAGGAACTTGTTACAGTCATTAATAGTCTCAGCACTGTGGACAGTCCAGGCTGGGGAGTGCCTTCTTGCAGGCCACACAGTGCCGTGGATGTGTAGGGAGGAACATGCCTGACCTCCATCCACCCATTCAGGCCACTGCCGACCCTCCACCTGCCAGCCTCAAGCACCTCAGCATTTTGCCTGGTGTGCCCTATCTGCTGTGCATGTTTAGGTCCTGGTAGAAAGTCTGTCCTCACAGTCAGAAAAGTAAGTCCTTGGGATGGGGATGGGTCCTCTGAAAAGGTTCCAGAGACAGAAAAGCTGGGCTAGAAGTTGGAAATAACAGACCTTCACTTTCATCCAGCTGGTATCAACTAAGGCTCTTTTGTACCCATTTCTGTTATGTGAGCTTAAAGTGTCAAGTCCTCTTAAATACTAGGTACCTACATACCAAATAAGAAACTGGAGCTTCCTAAGAGCTGACTAGTTCAAACTGGAGATTTAAAGTAATATAAGTACCTTGGACAGAGATGGGCAGAGAGGACATCGTATTAGTGTACTACAGGTGTAACTAGCACTCAACTTCCAAAATGGGAAGCCTCTTCCTTAGCTCTTTTGGTATTTGGGATGGTGGCATAGGACCAGGCTGGCCTTGAGATTGTGATTCTCCTGCCTCAGCCTTTTGGTACTGAGAGTATAGGCGTGAGCCACCACACCTAGCTCTACTTAGCTTTTTCTAAAGCAGCTTAATGAAGCTACAGAGATAGCTTAGGGTTTACAGGCACTTGTCCTTGCAGATGACCTGAGTTCAATTCCCAGCACACATGTGGCAGCTCACAACCACGCCAGTTCCAGGGGATCCAACTTCTTCTTCTGGCCTCTAAGGGTGCCAGACACCCACATGGTGTACAGACATGCAAGCCAAACTCTGATACACATAAAATAAAATAATCTAATTATAAATCAACTTAATGTGAACTAGTCTGACAAATGCTCTATGTTATTTATACTTTCTTGCTATTTATTAACATAATAGTATGTTTCGCTGCTCCTCTTCAGTTCTAGCAAGCAGAACCAAACTGTACTTTGCACATGATAAAAATAGTGTTTTTTTTCAAAAGTACGCCTGCACCAGCCTTTTCTGTGAGCCAAATAGGTTTTCCTGCCTAATAAATTGAATTAGCAAGGTTTTTTTTTTCATTTTTGTTTGCTTTTTAATTTTTAAATTATATTTATTCTTTTTATCTTTTGTGTTTTACCTGCCTCTATGTGTTGCTCCACATGCACTGATGCCTGAGGAGGCCAGGAAGGGCATTGGATCCCCTGGAACTGGAGTTACAGATGGTTATGAGCCACCATGTAGGTGCTAAGAATCAAACCTGGGTCTTCTGCAATAGCACCAAGTGCTCTTTACTTTTGAGCCATCTTTCCAGCCATGATTAACAAGCTTCTACTGTGATGTGATAGCTGAGCCAAAGAATCTTAAGTCTTGGTATTTCAAGTGAAGGCAAAATAAAACGTTAAAGTGCAGTGAGCTGTGTTACAGGTAGAGCACAGGGAAGTCGCTAATGGCTGTGCTTTCAGCTTGCTTTTGTTTTCTTTCACAGGAAATGACCTGCAGCTAAGTGAGTCTGGCAGTGACAGTGATGACTAGCACCAGGCTTTTGAAATCTGCTTTCTGGTACGTGAACACATGCTGCAAGACCCAGCTTCTTCTGCTGGGACCGCATGCCACAGGAGGATGTTGCGGATCAGAGCCAATAGGAGTGAAGGCCTGGAAGCACTCAGATACTCAGTCTTTAACTTGGTGGTGGTGGGTGATTTTTCTCATGTAATTTTTGAACAATCTCTTGATTCAGAGTTTAAGTATATCTATAGGAGAACTAACAGAATTCTGTTTAATTTGGTTAACATTGTTAATGAAAAACAGACCAATGTACCCTGGTTTAGGATACTCAAAGTCTGTATCTTCTTAGGCCAGTAAGTCAGCAACCCTCAGTTCGGCTGGGTGGTCTCTACCAGGAAACTTACAAGTCTTTTGAGGGCATGGAAAGCAAAGAGATCCTCAAATTGTGTCATAGAAATACAGTAAGACCACTTTACAGTGTTGATACAAAGTGGTAAGGAAGTTTTTGTGACCTAGTTTGACAAGACCATAGAAGATGGCCTTGGCAGAGTCTTTGGGTCAGTTGGGGTGTGTGTGTGTATGTGTGTGTGTGTGTGCTGGAGCTCCAATAGCTCAGTCCAGCACAGCTAGGAAAAGGGAAGCACACAGCCAGGAGCGGCCAGTCACCTGTCCCTGGGCAAGCTTGCTCACTACTTCCTCTTTTGAGTTACACTTGCTGGCTTCAGATTCTTTTACATGGAACTTGCTATTGGATTCCAAAAGACAAAAGCATTGCTGGCATTCAACTTGGATTCAGGCTCAGGCAGTTCCAGCACATTTGAGACAGAGCGAGCAGATACAATAGCAGCCGCCATGCTGATACACAGCCTCAGCTCATCTGAGGCTTTCACTTTCATGCGGATCCATCCTAAGGTTGTTCTTCATTCCAAGGATGTGAGGAGGGTAGGAATCAAAGAGGGATGTAGTGGGAAACCTCTGAGCAGATTAACCTGCAGCAGTCCTCCACAATGAGAATCCTGACAGGAGTGCAGCAGTATGGAGCCGTCTTTGGAAGCTCCATTTGCTTTTGTGCCACTGTTTGTGCCTGCCTCCCAGTCTGATGGGCTATTTTTATAGAAGAGAATCACAAGATTGCCTTTTGCCGTGTGCCATTTCCAAGTGAATGTTCTTGCTGGAAACTGGTCGCTAGTCAGTGTTCCACTTTGAGGAAGTATGTGGTGACTTGTGTGTCACTGCCCATCTCTGTAGTCTGAATGAATATATCCTAGGAAATCCCTGTCTTTGCTTTAAGATATTAATAATGCTGTTCTTTCCTCGGGTTTCTCCACTCACCCCTTTCCTCCTCTGCTAGTGGAGGAAGGTGGTCTGGACCTAAAAAGGAAATGAATGGTCCATGGTGGGGCCTTAGGTCATATAGGTCAACTATGCAGTCAACGCATCATATAGATCAACTGTTTGATCCACACAGAGGCTGAAGTGAGCTGAGATGGGGTAGAGGCCGTTGCCCAGCAGCACGTCGTACCTTGTGCTCAATCTCAGCCCACTGGGAGATGCTCAATGGGTCCCGTAGCAGGTGGGAACCTATTTATAGCAAACTGATAGTTGCTTTATAATTCTTTGGAAATGATAGCTCAGGGAAGGTGGAGGTTATGATTGGGTGACTTGGATTGTCACTAGATGTGGGAATTGAGTTGTTTTACTGCTCTTAACCTGTTCAAACTGTGGCAGGTTCCAAGAACTTGAACTAAAAATGCCTATTTGAGTCTCCCCTTGCCCTGCTTTTCTCCAAAAGCCTTGGTTTGTATAGACAGAACTGTGGCGTTGGCATGCTAGTCTCAGTGACTGTTGCCATAGGAAGTACTTGCATGTGGCACTTGGCTTGATAACTCGAGCTTTCTGTGCCTCAGACTACCCAGTCACCTGGCCTACCCAGCACCACACATCACTTTGTAGATGGCTCCAGTTTTTGCTCTCTGCACAAATCCTTCACTGGCTCTTTCTGCTTCCCCCTCCAGAGTAAGAAAGCTATTTTGGAAATCTAGAATGTAGTCTCCCAGATAGCTTCTCAGGGGTTTCCTTGTGCCAACCAAAGGACTCCCTGTCACTGTGCCTTTGCTGTCCCCTCCTCTTTACCTACTCTAAACCTCTCTCCAGAGCTGCTCAGGCACTATTTCACAAACTCTTCATTTCTTTCAACATATGGGTATGCCCTGGTGTGTGTACAAACTACTGTTCTACCTACCTGGTCTTTGGTATTAGCGCCTCAAAAGCAGGGACTATCATCACGGAACTAGACATGCAGATGCTCCTACTCTGGGAACTAGACATGCAGGTGCTCCTGCTCTGGTTGGGGAAGATACAGAGACAACTACTGGTGAAGGATGGAGGGTAAATATAGGGAAACATTCCAGGCATTGAGACAAAGCTAGAAATATGTACACAATGCCCATGCAAGTCTCTACTGAGTCTGTAAATTATCTTTTATTTGCTCTATGCAATGTTCACTTGGGTGAGGTGGATAGACTAATTCTACAGAGATGCCATGGCAATCCTATGAAAAACATTGGGAAAATGCAATACAGATAAACTAGAGATTTGTAATAATGCCACTTGTTAGTTTATTTCTGTAGCAGGATAATTTTCTCTGTGGGTGGTATGCTGTAGTAATAGGGAAACTTGAAAATTCCAAAGTCCTTCCCTTTTTTGAGAGACTGGTTAGTGTGTGTGTGTGTGTGTGTGTGTGTGTGTACACGTATGTGTGTTCATGTGTGATATTTATTAATTATTTTAAAAGAGAATTGTTTTGTAGATATGTATTAAGAACAGCCAAACTGGATCTTTCCACTTGGCAAGGAACATAAACTTTTTGAAACTCAGGCCTTAACCAGTAGCTTGGAAGACCAACTCAAGTGTTAGGAACTGTGTGTTTTTGTTTCTTGTTATTTCTGTCTTAGATTCCTTGTGTCCTTTAATGATATTTAAAATCTTGTGCCTAAAAATTTATTTTGCTTAATTCTGATGTAGACATGCATGTTTACATTTATATAAAATATTTTCTGTGTAGTTTCCTCTCTTTCAAGATGAATATATTTAAATAAAAATGAAGGTCAGCAATATATTTAATGTCTTGTTTTTTTTTTTAAGCTGAACATCTATGTGAAATAGAGTTAAGAATCCTTTATGCATAACTCTAATGTATTAACTTGATTCTTTTTCATCTTTGAGTCATGAAGTTCCCCTTAGCTTTAAGAAGATCTAACATTCAAAACGAAAAAATGAATTTTGGTTTTAAAAAGGTATGAGGGTCAGGGCCCAGAATTGTTCCTGTCTAAAAGAACTGCAGGGACAAAGATAGAGAAAAGACTGGGGGAAAGGCAGTCCAGTGACCAGCCCAACTTAAGATCCATCTCAAGGGGAGGCTCCAAGGCCTGACACTATTACTGATGCTATGCTGTGCTTACAGACAGGAGCCTAGCATGGCTGCCCTCCAAGAGGCCCAACAAACAGCTGACTGACACAGACATAGATACTTAACACCCAACCAATGGACTGAAGTTGGGAACCCCTGTGGTTGAATCAGGGAAAGGCTGGAAGAAGCTGAGGAGGAGGGCTACCCCATGGGAAGACCAGCGGTCTCAATTAATCCAGACCCCTGAGATCTCTCAGACACTAAGCCACCAACCAGGCAGCATAGACTAGCTGGTTTGAGGTCCCCGACAGATACAGCAGAGGACTGCCTGGTCTGGCCTCAGTGAGAGAAGATGCACCTAACCCTTTAGAGACTTGGGGTCCCTGGGAGTGAGGAGGGCTATTGAGGTGGGGGGAGGGGCATCCTTTCTTGGAGAAAAGGGAGGGGGAATGGGATGGGGAACTGTGGGAGGGTGGACCAACAACTGGATTGTAAAAAAATAAAATAATTAAAAAAAAACAAAAACTGGTTTGAGGGTGAGAGGATTGGAGAGAAGGCTCAGTGTTAAGAGTGCAGGCTGCTCTTCCAGAGGAACCCAGCCTGATTCTGAGCATCGCAGCTAACAGTTATCTGTAACTAGCTTCCTTTTGGTCCTGGTCTGCACTGTGTGCACATGATGCATAGACATATATGTACATGAAAGCAAAACACTTATAACTTCAAAAAAAAAGATGAAGTTTGGGGTTGCATGAAAGGGGTGGCTAAGATCTGGTGGTAGTCAGACTCATCAAATTGAACAACTAGTCACACACCAAAATGTCTTCACAGTGCTGAGGAAATCAGAAGAGACCATAGTGCCTTCAGTTACTGTAACAGAACAAGACCCATCCATGTGGGAAGGGCTGCTGCCCACAGCAGCTCTCCCTCAAGTCCAGGGAGAAGTGGAGGAAGGCACATCCCACTTAAGAGGGAAATGCACTAAGTCCATGCTGTAGACTTGAAACCTGTCCCCAAAGCTCCTTCAGCCCTGTAAAACCCAGTACACTGCAAAGCCCCTTGACACTTAACTGCTAGACTAATATTTGCAGAACAAAGGTCTAAAACTAGGCTATGTCAGGCATCAAAGAGACTGCCCCTAGAGCAGTGTTCCTCAACCTGTGGCCTGAAACCCCTTTGGGAGTTGAACAATTCACAGGGATTGCTTAAGACCATCAGAAAACAGATTTTTTTTACAATATAATTAATAACAATAGCAAAATTATAATTATGAAGTAGCAACAAAAATTTACATGAGGAACTATATTAAAGGGTTGCGGCATTAGAAAGGTTGAAAACCACTAGAGAATCAGCAGCAGAGTCCAGGCAGAATTGACTTCACTCCAGGGAGCAGGACATCAAAGCAGAAAAACTCACTGTGCGGAGGCCAAACCTCACAGCCTCAAGACCTTCTTGGGCATCAGGTGGCTTCCTGTGCATCCACAGTACAGACTACGTTAGGCCTTGAGTGGGACTGCCTGCTCCTCCCAAGGTGTTAAGAGTCACTATGACTAAACTCAGTAAGACCCAGGTTGCTACCAGCTTTGCTGGTCAAGGCACCTCTGCTACTAGCTGACACCAGCCCAGTGGTTGCAGATGGTGTTCTACAATTGCCTTTCACTCAGCAGGATAGACTTATATTTGAGCATGTATTATTACCAGGAGTGAGTGACAGGAACCTTAGAGCTGGACTATTAAATATATTTTGATCATATTTCCCCTCTCCCAAATCTTTCCAGATCCTCTCCCCCCCATGCACTCTATTTCAAGTTCTTTTACAAAAACCCAATACAACAACCCCTCCCAAGAAAATAAAATAACACCCAAAAAGGAAAAAAAACAAACCTCACTAAACTGACCCCACACACACACACACATACACACAGTGTGTAGTCTGTCATATGTTGGTCAACTAATCCTTAATGCGAGGCCTGTTCTGGAGTGGTTGATAGACCCAGTGTATATTAACTATATTGGAGAAAATGAATTTTCCTTTTCCCAGCAGGTATAAGGGACAGTTCGGTTGTTAACCTTTACCTAAGTAAAGTTACAACAAAATAATATATGATAACATAAAACAAAAATTATAACTTCAGATTTGGACAAGACAAACCAACAGAAGAAAAGGAGCTCAAGAAAAGGCACAGAAATCAGAGACCCACTTGTAGCTGTCATTGGCTGCTTTGGGGGTTCTTTCTCCCACCCTTCTCCACCCCTTTTCTTCCATTCTTTCAACCTCCTAACATTAGATACAAAAAAGGAGAGGAAAAGAAAGAGATCTTTGGATAAAGTCAGAAGTCGGAAAGGGGTGGTGTTATCATTAGACTACTTCCTGTTGATTAGGGCCACTAAGTTCCTTGGGGCAAGTTTGATCTTCACTCTCAGGATGTCTAATTTCTTGTTCTCTGTGGAAGACTACTTGACAAACCACTAGCAATAACAAAAATCAACAACCCATCCCTTCTCGGGATCCTAGCATTTATAAACCTGTTGCAGTAATTTCCAACCCCAACAAACCCATATGAAAAACACACAATCTAGTTATAATTATAAGCTGTAAGTCTAGATTGGGCAGATCTAGTACTATACTAACTTACTCCCCAGCTATAAGTCAGTCCCTTTGCTAATTGCGGTTTCTCCTGGCCATGCAGTTCTGGTCCTCCTCTTCTTCCATCCTGTCTCTTTCTTCTCCTTCTCCTCCCTCACTCTCCGTAACTTCTTGTCCCATCTTTTCCCTCCACTGCCCAATCATAGGCTCTAGCCTTTATTGACCAGTTAGAATGAAAAGAAAGTTCACATGAGATTTACCTGAATATGTGATCAGACTGCTTGTTAACCCCTCTCGAGGAAGTAGAATTAATATCAGAATTCAAACAGCATCAGGGCAACTCACAACATTTCCCCCTTTGTCCAATTAAAAAGGCTGTTTTTCTCAGATACAAATTGAGCACAACTATAACAATTAATACAAATGTTAAGGTATGATATACACTTAACACCCAGTCCATCATATTTGTCAATTTAGATAAAGCATTCTATCATCTATCCTAACTTAAAGAGTTTACACTTCCGTGCCTGAATTATGCTGACTTTAACTTGTATTACCATCTGAAATCCATCCTTTCACATCTGGAACTCCTTCTTTAATGCTAAACAGATTAAGTTCAATTATGAGACTATAGTCTTCAACCCTGTCAGAGACCTGAGAAGGCATTAAATAACACCTGAAAATGTAGGAAGAACAAAGACATAGCTTCCAAAATTATACAATTTGTAGAGACAGCTGGCTGCCTGGACAGTCCTTTAATTCCTTATAATATTGGAGCATCTGTCTTCAGCCTTCTGCCCTAGACAGACCTTAAGTAAAGCAGGAATTGTGAAGGCCCGACTTACCCTGTCTTGGCAGAGCTTAGCAGTCACCTATCCCAGAGGAATTAACTAGTTGCAGATGAACTAGGGCAGTTCTTGCCCAGTGGGTACCTTGCCAGGATTGAAGCAACTGTGCCTGGAGGTAATGATGCTCAATGTCTTCCTTGAAGTAGGATGGGGGTACTGTTAGGAGCACACATGTCTCGTAGTCAAGTGATCTTTAATAATGAAATAATATTACATGCCATATTCTGTGGATCTCTGATGCTTTTGAAGACCATCTATCTATCTATCTATCTATCTATCTATCTATCTATCTATCTATCTATCTATCTATCTCATAACTGAATTGTCAAACATTGATTAGTCTTAGCTATTCACTATTTAATCTTGAAAACACTTGTAATTAACTAAATTAGGATCTGATATAATCATGAGCTTCATTATCTCACTATTAACTTGCATTACTTAATCATCCTAAATATTTTATAATAGCAGTTATTAAAGGGGGTATTGTATTCTTTAATGAGTTGCATAGGCACAATCCAAGAGTAACAAAATTAATTTTAAATTTTGTATCAATATACAAAGCTTTATACCAATGAAAACATTAAACCTGTATCAATATGTAAATTCTGTGCCAATGTAAGAAATTATAACTTTGATTTTACATCAAATATAAAGATTTCTACCAATGTAAGATTATGGCTATATAATGCTTTGTTTAAGAGTAAATTTAATATCCTATCCCTATTTTTCTATAATATTACTAACCTTTTTATTTTCCACCTCCTTCCTTTACCTAAGAAAGAAAGATAAAGAAGAGGAAAGGAAAGGTAGAAATTACTGAGTCTGAGTTCTCTAGCTTCCTCCCTGTCCAAAGCTACAACATTTGCAAGTTATCCCTTAAAAACGGCAACATATCTCTACTTCATAAAATAACCAGAACCATCCACCCCATCCTAAGGGGCTGGGACAATGATCTTCTTTTGCTTGTTTCTTGCTGAATTAGGGTGAAAAATTCTTTCACCCTAATAGGTAAACTGGTTTTGTTAAAGGAAGGCTAGCTGGCATCATTTGCCATCCAGTCTCTATGTGCTGAGAAAGTTCATGGCTTAGCTGAAGTCCTGACTGTAACAGTCTGAAAGGCTGGATGGGTGAGCTAGTGCGCTAGCTGTTCTGGAAATGTGCTGGTAGCAAGTTTTAGAGGAAACAGG